TAGCAAATGGCTGCAATATAACAAAGAGTGAAAAATTTAAGGGGGTCTGAATACTTTCCGTACCCACTGTATATTTATATTTCTGTTCATTATATATATATATTGACATTCTGAGCTACAGTATGTTTGTGAGGATATGAGGTTTTAGACTTATGATGAAATAATATCATCATTTTAAGAAAATCAAATGCTATGGTATATATATTTACATTCTATTGATCATCTCTGATTATTTTCAAAGTGAAAATGTAGCTATTTTTAGTGTTTTATTTTGTCCCATGTCTCAAGAATCAATGCCAAATTAAACAAAGCAACTGTCTCCAAATACAAGAGGAAACATCTGTAAAGCTGATTATCGCTGCCTCCTTGTTCTTGGATCAAAGGGTGTTGATTCCAGCATCAGTTCTTACCCCAGTACGAGACGGCATGGAAACACGAGGACAGCGTGTGGTGAAAGTCGTCACGCTCGTCTTTCTCACAGAGCGGCGCGTGGAGCATCTTCACACGGTAGCCGTTGTGAAAGAGCTCGCCGCAGGATTTCTTGCGTCTGCATGTGTTCGGGAGGGCCACGGTGCGCGTGGCCCCGTCGGGGCTCCGGTACACCAACATCTTAGTCGGGATCATGACGACGATTCTGATAAAAACGCTCCCAATTCACACTCTCAAATTTGCAGCAGCAAGTAGCTCCGTCTCAATCCGAGGAAAGCCATTCTGAGCAGAAAGGTGGTCGAAATGCACCAAAGCCCACCGGAAAAAAACTGCATCCCAGTTGTGATGATGTAGTCATGTAGTGAAAGCTTAGAACAAACCCTTTTCATCAGGATATTACAGCATAAGCTCCTTTAGGAATCATCCTGGGATGCAAGCAGAGGCCAGACAGAAAGCCTGTTCAACATGCACATCATCTGCCGCAGTCAGTCTGACTCTATAATCATCAATTATTCAAACTACAAGTGTTTGATGTTCCAAGAAACACGGATTACGAGATTCCAACATCGTCTGAAGATCATCTGAGTGGGTTTGCACGTGCAGAACTCACCGATACAATGTAACAGTTTTTGAATGGCTTTTAGACGAATGTCTTTGATGTTTAAAAACAGACAGAATTACGTGTAACCTTTTAAAACTGCCGTAAAAACACCCCAAACCAGGATGAATATGTTTTGGACACACTCCACACACACACACACACACACACACGCATACCAACAAAAGGACATTAAGTCCATGAAAGCTGAATAATAACTAAAGCAGGATGATGTGAGCCCGTGACCTCCTGTTCCCTATAGGAGAATTAAACTCCTTGAACAGACGCGGACATGAAGAACATAAGCTGCGCTTTGACCACGACTCAATTCATGAGGGAGATGAAGCATTAAAGCAGACACATATAGGCCTCTTCTCCAATCAAAGTAGATTTGCAGAGTTTTATGTAGTGTTTTTCTGCTTTATTACCAGCAGAGGGCAGCGCTTTTACTACATTATGAAGGCCTTGTTCCAAATCACTCATGCTTGTAAAAGTTTACAAGAAGTTTGATGTATCATTTTTTAAAAACTAACTAATGTTTAAAAGTTTGGAGTCTGTAAGATTTTTTTACATTCTTCAAAGAACCAAGGCTGCATTTATTTGATCAAAAACACAGTACAAACCACAAAAAAAAAAAATCAATATTATTAAAATTTCAAATAAGTGTTTTCTATGTGAATATCTGTTAAACTGTAATTTATTCCTGTGACGTAAAGCTGTATTTTCAGCATCATTACTCCAGTCTTCAGTGTCACATGATCTTCAGAAATCATTCTAATATGCTGATTTGCTGCTCAAGAA